ATCAACTCCGCCTACCTTCACAGTTAGGGGGACTCTGGGGGGCGAATCGTGGTTCGCCAAACCGTCTGATGCGGCCCGTGGCGCACGACGGACGCCGCACCGCCCCCACGGGCACCCCCAAGACGGCACGCAGCCTACAGGAGGGCCCGCTCTTGGGGACCAGTGAGAGTGCTACCGGCCACCCTTCTTACCCTTGCCCCTGCCCTTGGCCCTCGAAGGCCTCCCCTCTCTTTGGATAGTCGGGGCATTGGACACTCCAGGACCATAAACTGAGGGCAGCGGGGGGGGGGGGGTCGAGGGTTCAAAACTCCAGAAGACACTAAACCCCTGCGAATTAAGTCGGCCAACCTTTCGCTCGCCCGCAACGGATGTTGGTGACTGACACCTCGGAATTCCGTCGCGGGCCCCCTATTCACGGGCCAACTTCTTGTCTGTAAGGCGCTGCTGCCGCTACTGCTGATACCTCCTTTTCCTATACCTACGCTGCGCCCCTCTACTTGAACTCCACCATCATCTTCGACGCGTCCCGCTCCAGGCCCCTCTGCGCGGGCCCGATGCACCTCTCCGCCTTCGCCGTCTTTGGCATGGCCGTCACGATCTGCATCCAGTGCTGCGTGTCGAAATCGACGATCAACCTGCCCTTCGGCTTGCTCTCCGTCTTGTTCCTCCACTTCCCATGCGGAACCAGCTCCCCCACTTGTACATCCGACGCCCTGTAGTGGCCCCCTTTGTAGAACTCGGGGGCCCTCCACGGCACTTGCTTCACTCCTTCTTTGTCGTGCTGTCTGGCCACCCACTTCGTCGTCGTCACGAAGCTGGTCACGAAGTGAAGGCTCCTGCTCTGTGCGCCGACGGCTTCTCCTTGTTTTGCTATGGCCTTGAGCTCCTGGGCCTGGTCGTTGTAGCCCACCCCTGCGCTCTCGTTCATCGCCGCGAATTCCTTGTCCGCGCAGATGTCGCGCATGCGATGCGCCGTGCTCGGCACCTCTGCCCGCGCGCTGCTGTCCATGATCACGAGCTTGCCGAGGAGGATGAGCACCAACTTGATCCGTGCGTCTTGCCCTCGTGCTGCCTTCCTCGCCTCCTCCCTGACGCCTGCGTCGCCACCGCGGTTTCTTTTGCTCATAGGGCCTGACCATGGGCCCCTCCTCCACGCGGTGCGCTCCAGCCCCTCCTCGTCCTCCATCTCCGACATGAGCGGCTGGCCCAGGAGGAGATGATACGCCAAAATCTGCCTCTGTGTCAGGGGATATGGACGGGTCCACCTCACACGGGAGGTGGCTTGTGGCCAAATGGCTACATACGTTGTCCACATCGCTGGCATGATACCCGCGTATTCTGCATTCCAATGACTGTGGGGGCCGAACTCCCGAGAAAGTTGCTGGGCCCCGTGACGGACATTTTCCACTCATGAGGGCCCCCTGGAGGTGCTTGTACGCGTTATCCTGGCTAGCGAATACCCGTCTACATGCTATGCATGTGTTAGTGGGGGTCGGCGTAGCGGATATGTTGTGTACTTGATGTATCTGGTGCATATGGTTCATGAGGTCCATCTTGGTCTGGAACCCGTGCCCACGTACTTTCCCCACCTCCAAGGCCCATTCGCACTTCCAAGGGAACTCCAGAGGTGCAACTGGGGTGTCCTGCTTTTCTGTCATGTAGAGGTCCGAGGGAGGAATCACCTTTGCCAGCTCGTGTGCACGGATCTCCGTAAAGTCCACGAGCCCAGAACCCCCGATGCTCATCATTCACTATGTCGCCTGGACAGCGAGCAAAGTGAGCACACAGGTCGCCCTCGTCGAGCGCACCTGCCGCACGCCGAAAATCAGCCTGCAGTTGAAGAAGCCACGGAGATGCCACTTTATGAATAACTGTTGTCATGCAGCGTTTGGCCCCCCACGTCCAGGCCCAGGACCCCGAACAACAAGCAAAGCTCCTGGCTGTGGCTCTTCGGGGATAGGGCCCAGGTGCGATACCACCCCAGACGCCTGACCAGCAACTCCGTTTCCGAACTAGCGAGGCGCCAATGCTGCATCACTTTCTTGTTTGACCACGATCGAGTCTTCCCATCCACCTTCGTCGTCGCCTTCCCCTGCAGCGCCCTCCTCCCGTAACGAGCCAGAAGCGAATCGAGTTCACGATATTGACGTTTAGCGAGCAGCAGTGGTTCTAATCAAGTGAGCGCCGCGTTCTGCACGAAACTCAAAAAACATAGTCCGCTTCCAGCGGAACGGCAACTCCAGGGGCCATATCTGGCCCAAAGCGTTGTACGACTCAGCGGTAGCTTGAAATCTGCGACTAATCTCCACTGAGGAGGATAACAGCATATTAAGTTTGGGGCCCAGGTACCGCACATGCTCCTGAAGATCTCCTGCCAGTTGTTTTCGACCCTGACCCCTCGCCCACTGTTGACACTGTAAGGCCCCAGGTCCCTGAAAGCAAAGCTGCACCTCCTGCTTCCCGATGTTTTGTGCGTACCCAATCTCCTCCAACTCTTCCGAAAGGGCCAAACCAGCTTGCTTCGGGATCCGGAAAAAAAAAAAAAAACCTTCCACGGTACCGTGAGGTCGGCCACGTGAGCTCTAAAGATGTCGTCGGCATATAGGCAGCCACCGACGTCAGCACGTAAATCTCGCCAACTAGCCACCAGCCCCGCAGCAGACTTGTCAAAATCTCTAAGACGACGAAGCCACTGCAGTATGGGTCGAGAAAAAGTTCCCCGAAAGAGCTCCACGACGAACGGATCTCCCATCGTTCCTCCTCCCCCCGTCTTGATGTACATCCCCCCTTCCATGGTCTCTAGCCAGATCACACTGCATCGGAAACGTTGAACACACAAATCTACATCCTGAGGTTCTGCGTGGAGCTCTACTGTCTGATCAAGTTCACCCCAATCCCCACTGGCGAAAGCGTTGGACACGTCTTTAAACGTGAAAGCGAACGAGCGTCCAGCGCGTCGAAGGCGCCAGCAGAGGAGCTGCGAAACTAAAATAGCTCCTTCTCGACGTCTACCTTTGCAAAAGCCGTGCTCCTTGACCGTGGGGGGAACCCGAAGAAGGCCTGAATAGAAAGCTTTCCCCACCGTCGGCAATGCATGAACCGCCCTGCGGCCCACCGGTCCTGGCTTGGCGTTTTTTCGAAGCTGTGCTCCAGAACTTATGTGCCACCGAAGTGGGGTCCGATTCGTAGCCCGTAGGCCTCCCTCCAGAATCTTCCCAAACAGCTTCATCTCAGGAACTACTTGCTCGTAGCCTACTCCCTGCCCCTTGGTGCCCATGTTGGCCTCTGGATCCATGCGCATCAACCATGCTTCAGCTGGCGGAGTCCCTGATGGCACCATGCGTCTCTTACTGGCACTTTTGAAATATTTCTGGGTTCTCCACTGATCCTTCCGAGCAAGCTCGCAATCCTCGGGCGCGATGTAAGGCGCGGGGCCAGGTGGGCATTCGTTCAGCCAATCTTCGAAGATGATCTTCCGAGCCGACATGCCCCCATCCCTGCCCTTCTTGCCCCAGTGGTCGAGCAACCCCTGCTCTGCGAAATACCCCCCCCCCGCAAAAGCCGTCCGTCACGTCTCTTCGGTCCGAATCGGCACCGCGCCGCCTGCCTCGAAAGTCTCATGGCCTCCGCTAGGCGGCGGGCCTGCCACGCCTCCTCAATCTCATCCAGTAGAGCAGTACGGCGTTGCTGATCGAATTGCTGCCTTTCTCTCCTGAGGCGCTGACTCAACTTCTTCAGCTGCTCCTCGCACTCGCGCAGCTCTGTGGAATCCTCGTTCATGCCCTGTCGGGACCGTCTGAGTCGAGCACGTTCTTTCAGAAGCTCGGTTCGCTCTGCCGCAGCACGCCTATATGCGGGATCGTTAGATTCAACGTGGCCAAACATCTGCTGCCCGATCGTTACCAGCACATCATCAAGGTAAAGAAAGATTTCGTCTGGTCTTCCGTCGGTAAGCGTGGCCCTCCAAGTATCCTCAGTTTCCTGGAGGCTCGCTTCCACCTTCTCCACAAACTCGACTCGACGGTGTCCTCGTCGAAGACACTGCATAAGGTCGTCCTGATTCCACCTCATTCTTTCTGGTGATGGTGTCAGCGTCTCCTCCATGCCGAT